CCTTACTTTTCAGTCTGATCATCTGTTTATAAATAAGCTGCTGTGCTATCCTGACGTAAGGTCTGGGGAAAACAAAATTATCCGTCATTAAACGATCATCTTTTGTCGTCCTACCCTTTCAACCCACTCCTGCTCCTCACTGCTTATCCGGCTTCACTCGAAGCTTTTTTTCTCTTCTCAATGAAGGAAAATTCAACCAGTTACCTAAAGAGAGCAGCAGAGCAGATTCACGTTGCACTACAGAGAGGGAAAGAAGACAACGTATTTCTCCTCCTTTTCTTTTAGTTAGAATGTTACTTACAGTAATGGTGGAGGAAAGGACATTTTTTCAGCACACCAAATAAGGGGACAAGCTAAACAAGATGAAGATGCCTGCACACTCTGGTATCACAGGCAATTTTATGAAAGACTTAACTTTCAGAACTAATGCTTCGAAAAGGGTGTCTCCAAGAGGCTAGCAATTTCTAAAGAGAGAAGACAATGAAAACACTGTAATTGCTGCGACCTCTCTGTCCCCATGGCCTCTGCCCTACCTTTAGCACCGCTGAACAGCGCCTGGTGAGGGGGCCTCTATCGTGGACCGACCTGGTCCCTGGGCTGGGAATGTATGAAGCATTTCAAGAAGGCATCCAGAGCTTGTGTCTGTTTACCTGCAGCAAGGGTTTCCTCTCTCTGTCTGATAAGGGACAATCACTATCCTTTAACTTCTTTACTTCTGTACGTTTCAGGTTGATATAATCACTTGCTATCTCAGAACGGTCCCATGAACTTTACATGCAAGAGATTCTGTTGTACTTACGACAGCTTTTTCACGAGCAGGAGCCGCAGCACGGACTTTAACCGGGCGGTGCTGGGGAGAACCCCTTCACCTGCCTCAGGACCCACTGTGCTTAGGTGGAGAATGCAGTTACCCAGGGGGTCTTCTGGGTCAGCATAGCCCTAACGGATTTCATAAAAAGAGAAATTAGGGTTTGACTTTTAACATGGTGCTTAACTTTTTAATTTGAAAATAGGAATTATAGTTATGCTGTCAAGCAACTCATTTCTTTCAATTCAGTCGAATAGTCACTTTTCAAAATAACCTATATGAGGTAAGAAGTGTACATAAAATTGTTTTTAGAAAATAATACTAGAGAACTTCAGGAAAATACACACCCCTCTTGACACTTACTAATTTTTCTATTTTTCAAGATCCTAGTAGTGACACTTCCCCTGGATGAGGCACTTCCCAGATCTTCAGACCTGTCCCCACA